TCCTCGGTCATTCTCAAAATACCTATTAATTCCTTTTAATACCTTCGAAATACCCTAATTCCCTCTTAATTCCCTCCAACTTGTACACTATTTCCTCCAGCGGTTTACCCCTAGGCTTATAATCTGAAAATTAAAACCTGATGCTCCGGTTTGACCACTCTCAAATAAGTGCTCATATAAATTGTATTGGTTGAATATAATATATTGCTGAAAACGTAGCAACGAGTTGGAAAATTGGATGGTGGAACTCTTTTTTTACACCTTTTTATCGCCAGGTCAAAAATTAGTTACTCGTTCTAAATGAATCTCGAAAAATGGTTAACAAATTTGAATCCAGAACAACCTTTTTACATGTTGTCATTTTATTTATAATGTTATTAACACCTGGCATAAACAAATTAGGTGCACAACTTTGATTAATAACCTCGTTTTTACGTAAATGCCACTCCAAAAAATAGCGCAACGAAATGTTTGCAACTTGAACCCAAACACTACATGAAGAAGTTCCTCTTTTTTCTTAAATACTTTACTTTATGTTAGTTAACTCATAATGGCGCCTCGTAACGAGTTTAAATGCATTCAGTAATAGATTTTCGAAGCGAATTTTCTATACTGGAAAATTTGTAAATTCAAAACCAAATCTTTTTAGGTCTAAAGCGACCACCGGTTGCAAATTACATTCTTATAATCTCCACTATTGAATTTTTATAAATGTAGTAGTGTTTATTTGTTGCTAATTTATTGCTACAGTGTGGAATTTATTGCTCCAATCATGCAGAGAATTTTTTTAAATTGAAGGTGTCGGTTTGAAATTAAAGACCACTTTCTATACTAATTGCTTGCTGAATTATCATCTGAAACTGTTGGGGGGATGACGATTAATAAAACAGCGCAACCGTTTTTTTTCTATAACACATCGCGCCAAAAAGGCACTTTCGATTTTTTTTAAAATGTTATCTTCGTTACTTGTGATTGCCCTTCATACAGATTCTTCAATCTCCTCTGCCTACCGCAACCATTGTAAGCGACTAAATTAGATCTCCAGAAAAATTTCAAAACAAAAATATGCTTTTATAAAGCGCCATCTTTATTTCGTTTTATTGTTGCCACTAGTTACATTTATCGATGGAGCACTTACTGCTCTCTAATTGGAATGGCCATCTTCCCATTGAAAGGTAATGTAATATCGCAATTCTCATGAATTTCGAGGGCTTTCTTTCACAATAAAGATATAAAAAAGCGGCTGTCGTTATAGAGGTAATATCAGTAGAAATTATGAGGGGGATGTTAACACACCTCTGAATATGAATTTGATTCTGGTCTGATTCACTGGTATTACCGAAGTCAGGAACGTAGCACAAAAGATGTTAATATCAAGACGTCAAGGAAACTTATTTTGAAATTGAAATTACTGCAGTTGAATGGAAACCCTAGTTTTTGCATATCACACAAGTTCCATACATTGATTTTATGTACCGTTGTATTATTTGCAGGATGGTGATTTGGTAACAAAACGTCGTTGGTAAAAAACATCTACGTAAATATAATACACAATAATTAATCTTATACCCAAACAGCCGAACAAAGAAGGGTGACTACTTAATATCGTTACAGTGATTACGTAAACAAAATGGAGGCAAATTTTTCTCAGAGTCCCTAATTGGAATCCTTTGTAATCTAAACCTAGTAATTTATCACTTTTATTTTTCGCAAATGTTAAGCGATCTCGCTCATTGATATGCTAATCACTGTTAGCAAATTGTTCGCAATGTATCGGTTAAGAGGAACTTTCGATACTATGTAACTAAAATTCAATTTTCCAAATAATTTCAACATAAATTCACTACCTCTCCGTAATTGTGGCAATCAATTTGAATTTCTAATTACATAATTTGCTACTTCGCTCATCGCATTAGGTACATGAATATCTACATTATTTTCAATATCGCGCCCTTAAATTTCTAGAACGTAATCATAATTAAGCCCCCGCGTGTTTCGCATTGGAGGTGGATTTTTAAGTTTTGAAACTTTCATTAGACTTTGTTTATTAATGAGGCTCAAAAATCGATATGCGCGTTTCTCGTACGGCAATTATTCGTAAACGACCTTATCTTCTTGACCTTTAGGTCGGGGTTGTTGAACTTGAACTGCATTTCCTATCATCCGCGTCTTGTAAAAGAGTTATGATTGTTTTCCATTTGAATGTCGTAAACATTCTGATAGATAACCGCAGCACAATAAACTCCATTATGTGGAGGAATTGATTTTTAAGTGGTCCATACTGGAGCTGTTAAAATAAAACGGGGAACTTCCCTTCTTCCTGTGTAGTTTAGCAAAGGGGACCTTGTTAATCTAGCCGGCTATTTTTAACATATAAATCAATAACGTTGGTAAAGATAAGAATAATATTAATTGTTAACACATTTAATCTATAGGAGTTTGGGTCCTTTTCCTGTGCAAATAAATTAATAGGAATTAATAGGTTTTATGCGTGCTCTTTTATTTCTCAAGTATACAGGGTGCTTTAAGCTTTAAAGTTTAACGTTTCTGGGAAAGTGAAATAGGTAGGTTTTTGAAAACTTGTACTTAGGGGATACTCTTATTTCCAACCTACAACATAAACTCCATTACAAACACAACTTCAATAGATCCACCCAATTTGGGGAAAAAAGTCACCCCTTCTATTGTTTACCCTTACCTCGAATGCCTTTAAAAACATCTTCAAAAAAACACAATATAAACATAATCTTCAAAGCTGACAACAATGTTAAATTCTTTCTGTCCCACGTAAAAGACCCCATCCCCCTCACCGATAACGTGGCATTTACAAACTTATTTGTCCGTCCTGCCGATCCTTCTATACGTATAGGCCGCACTGGGAGAAAATTCTCCACCAGATTCCATGAACACCTATCCTGCATCAAAACCAACAATATACTTCCTCTTCAACCAAATCTTCTTTTGCTTCCCACATATTGGACACCGGTCATTCCTTTAACCCTAAATCAGATTTTGAAATTTTTCATGTTTGTGACAAAAGTCAAAAACTTAATTTTCTTGAAATGCGGGAAATTGTTACCCAATCAATATTAAACCCGGGAAAAACACTTAACGAAATTCTAGGCTTCAATGAAAACTTATTTTTGCAATAATTTCTCATCCTGTATAAAATTTTTGTTTTGGATTCTACGCCCCAAAATTAATAAGAAAAAGTGTTTTCCCGAGAAATTTTGGTGCAGTCGATTTTTGGTAAAAAAGGAAGGTTATACACTGCCTTTTTTTTGGCCCGAAAAAAAAATTGTCTCAGATCGACCGGGGAAAAAAATTTTCTTATAGAATGTGGCCTGTAGAATCCATAATTTCAAACAGTTCCAAGATTGGGCTACTAGTTCAAAAGTTACAGCCCTTTGAATTTTCTTTCGAATTTGATTTTTAGTCTATAACTTTTGATTGAGAAGTCTGATCGAAAAAGTACGAATTGATTTGGATTATACGCACCCAAATTAATAAGAAAAAGTGTTTTCCCGAGAAATTTTGGTACAGTCGATTTTTGGTAAAAAAGGAAGGTCCTGCCTGCCTTTTTTTGGCCCAAAAAAAATTGTCTCAGATCGACCGGGAACGGACGTTTTACAGTTTCCTTTGCCACCCTCGGTGTCTTTACCTAAATTTTCACGTCTTCCACGTGCTAAGGTTCAATTAATTTAACTTAATAATGTAATTTATTCAACCAATTCAACTTTGCTCTCCTCTCTCTTACATAATTTGTAATTAAAATTTTTTAGATTCCGGTTTCACTGTATTACCTAAGATTTTTGAAATGTAACTTAATTTTTAACCCGTTTAACCAACCCCAAGGGACCCTCGTGTGCAGTAATGTTTCTACATTAATCGTGTGGTTCCAACCAACCTGCCCTTAATTGGGTTTTTATTATCAAAAACATAAAAAACTCCGTCCCGCCTTTTATATCTCCGTTTATTGTAAGTACCTATTAATTACTACTTTAAGATTACTTAAAAATCACTTTTTTAACTTTTCGACAAAACAAGTACCTATTTACTTTCAACTTTAAAATTACTCTACTACCTGAATTATTGTTACTACAACCAACCCTTTTAGTAAGTAGTCCTTAGGCCCTAGTACAAATTTTATAATGTATTTCACTCTAGTTTTTTACGTGAAGATGACGGAAACGTCGAAACTAGTGATGTTTTTATAAGATTATAGACAACTATTATTAAATTATCTACATGGGGAAGGTATAATCCGTTTATTTAATAATTGGAACCGCGTTTGGAGCCAGAATGGACCTTCAGATTTCATATACTTACTTAAATTTGAAAGAATTAGTTGTTTATGGCAGAGTGAAGTGATTTACCTCAATGATTTTAAAAAAATAACCTGATCTCAATCAAAGCTTATTTGCCAAAATTGACAATTCCCTACCAAAGCAAACACAATATAAACAAATTAATGACTTTATTCAGGGTGTTTCAACTGCAGTTTCTGAAACAATTCCCAAACACCTCAAATTTGTATCGAAGCTAACAAGATTTGGTTGAATACAAAATAAGATTATTGCTTAGTCTTCAAATTATCATACTTCACTTATTCACCTGATGCTGATGCGGATATACGGCATAAGGAACAAAATAAAAAATCCAATTTCAATAATTTAAATAGATAGCAATAATTTCATCGTTTTTAGCTAGGCTACACAAATTTAATTGTCTGTTCTGATGATTAAAGGAACATTGAACTGGCCGAAAAACATGGGCTATTATGTTAACTAATGCAACGAAAAGATTGGACAATTTGTAGACAAAGCAAAATGTCCGTGACGCGAGTAATAGACTAATTGCCTACATTGAAAATTTATTTGCCATTGATTATTTTTCCGTTAACTTAACTTTTCCATTTGATATATAGGCAATTAACGTTATTTTTGTAGCATCCCGCAATCCATATCAAACAGATTAATAAATATTCAATTTTTTTACAGGATTTCGAAGCAGATGAAGTTGAAGAACTTTTTTTTATTTAGTGCTTTCCTTCCCGACGTCGTCGAACAATGAAGGTAAGTTTTTTTCACCGATATCATCTTTGAATTATCGCTTTCCTTTCACTATCTTGAAAATCAAAATTGATGGCCTGTTCTTGTAGATACTTATCAATGTACGTTTTTGACAAAATTACCGATTGCCTCCCTCGGTCGGATCACGCAACTCCACTTACGATTCCGCGGAACTTTTATCGATTTCCTATTCTTAGTTTAACCATTCTATTCTAATAACTGTTTTAATTGAACTTAAATACCATTCAAACGTACGTTGAACTGGTAATTTTGCAAGGGAGTAATTAACTTTGTTGCTACTTAAAACGGGAGAAAAGCGCTGTTGGTTTAATATTATTCAATTACTGAGGCGGAACGCAAATTGTTTAATGGGCAATCAGTAGGGCATTCCAAAAAAGTTGTTATTTCTTTTGTAAACACCAGGTAATTATCAGTACATTAATTACCGATTTTATGTTAGGTGTTGCTCGACGAAGATCGATTCCGTTAAATTGAGCCCTCTGATTCGTAATCCATTTCTCATTATCTTGCACTTATAAATTAATCAGGTTTCGCGTGTACTATAAAGCCCGGGACTAATTTCAAATCAGTCAATTAACAGGGGAATTTTTATTTGAGGTTGCGACGCTTTCGCTAAAAGTGGCAAAGCGACACGTTTCACTGAATCATACGGGACAGTTTTCGCAGCTTCTCATAAAAGGAAATTACCTTTGATGTCAAAATGTTCGTATGAAATTTCATGTAAGGTATATAATGGGTGGAAATGGTAGATTTCTGACGCTATTGTTCGTTCGGAAAAAGCAATCAAGGAAAACGGTAAGAACGTGGAAAAAATGGATCTAATTTTTGTTGTCTTGTAAATGATTTAATTATAATTACTGCATTAATTTGGAGTCTTTGCCATCGACTGGCGCTACAGTTCATTGTCATCATTCATTCAGAAAATACTCTAAGTGACTCCATTTGCAGTTCTCCTTGAAGTTAAAGCAAACATTTCCTGCAAAAAGTGAACTAAATCATTAATTAATGAGACACAATTTATTTCTCGAATTAAAAACTGTAAGATCAATATTTGTACAAAAACGTTTAATTTCAGAACGGCTGTGAAAATCTTGAATGAGAAATGCGAAAACTGAATTATTTATATTTATAGCATAACCTCATTTTCGGATCTGGAAAATTATTGAATTGTGTTTGTTTTTAGGGGAAAAGTTGCTAAACTTACCTTGTCAATGATAACAAAAGTACTCGATCAATTTTTCCTTACTGTAAGTAAAAGAAATTTGTTTACATTTGAAGAGGTTGCCGATTGGAATATTTTATGTACATCCATTTGGCGGAATTATCATATAATTTGTCAACATGCGGCAGTTGCCAACTTTACTTAGTTAACGTCTTTATTCATCGTCAAATTTCGAACCATTTGTCTATAATTACGTTAAGAGTTTGGGTTGGACATTCTACTAAACTTATTTCCGATAAACTCCCATTTTGGAGGAAGCCCTAGGGAAATGAATTAGTAGCTCAATTACAACAAATATTTGTGTCTTGTTCTTTGATTCAATGGCTTTTTGAGGATCCGGTTCAATAAAAACTAACTAAAAATGAAAAATGTTACAATATCTCCACAAATTTTCGTATCGTTTCACTTCCTAGAAAAGTCGTTTATTCTGTAATTACAAGCGTTTCCAGGGTACAATTTATTGGTGAACACCCGGTGTACATTTTTCACAAGTTTATTACATTTTGAGTAAGGGGTAGGTTCTATTTACGTCGATACCTGTTTTGCATTGTGATGGGCAATTTAATTTATGAAGGAGAAGCAGGAAAATTTCCTACGGTTTAGGGGATGGCGACTTCACACTTTGGGTTTCATCGGAAGGGCTATAAAAATGAAGAATTTTAGATAAAATGGGTTTAACCGTTATATACGAATTTTCAGATAAGCTAAAGAAATAAAATAATTGTCAGGGTAGAACATAAACAATAATTCTTGTCACAATCGAGGGTAATTTTTTAAATGATGAGTTCAGAAGAGCGTTTTTTTGCCTTATCTGTAACATCTAATAACACAAACAAACAAACAAGTGGGATAGTGAACAGTATGGCATATAAATATTGGGGTAGCAATGTCTAACTTCTGACACTAGGATAAATCGTATACTAAAACCGTAATTAATACTCAATTATTCAAACGACTTTAATTTAAATCGGGGTATAAAAGCATGAGCTTTGACATTAACTTCGAGAAAACCACTTTCGATGCATAAATAACTACATCAAATTAATTAAAAATGTAAAAAAGATAGTATAAACAAATTCTTCGGAGTGCCACAAATAACGTAACCAAAAATCGTAGATACCGGCTCAGCATAAGTCTCAGTAATTAAAAAAAATTAATGTATAATACACAGGTACCTAATATCTATAACAAACACATCTGAAGGATACAACGTTTAAAATATTAAACCAACAATGAATGAATTTTCGAAGTGAAAAAAGTAACGTAGACAATAAGTTTTATTTTCCAGGAAATTTGTGCATTAGGTGAATTAAATGCAATGAAAAATTGTCAAATTAAATTAAACATATTAATTAATTAATATGTTTCATCCTTATCTAGGACACAGTGTATGTATATCCAGTTAAAAAATATGGAACAGTAAGAGTTTGTTACCTCATTTTTTTGAGCTGAATATATTTCAAATAAATAAACAGAACTTTATCTAACTAGAACGGTCGAACTATCGTGGGTGCAAATTGAATTAGTAAAGAAATTCTCGGATTTCGAATACTGGGATGTAGTTCACGTATTTTAAAATTCTGAGTTTACCTAGAATTGGTCTGTGTGCACGTAGAACCTTAGATGAAATTTTCCAATTTTAAGGTTTTGAATTCCCAAAAATTCAGGGATGGGTGAAGAAAAAATCTGTAAAATTTGAGGATCAATAAAGGGCTATAAAACCTGCAGTTTAAATGGTTTGAAAACTTCATACACTTGGGAGTTTATTGAGGGGGCGATGACCACAAAATTTTTAAATTGCAACCCCTCTCAGTTTTGTAGGCATAGGTAAATCTAGGAACAGTGTTTAGTGGTTGGTGTCTGCACAAAAAATAAGGGTAGTTTCCATACGAAACATTTAGGCATATAGAATGTTAATAAAAAGTGACCCTAAAATTAAAATCTACATTCCTTCCAATTTGAAAAACTGAACTTTTTGATATTTTTTGATTGTTAATTTTATAAACTCGTAGCAGCCGTGGACTTTCAGCGGCCACTAAAAAAACTCAATTATAAAGAAGAGCATGCACTGATCCTGAACGGATTAAGAGATATGAATTTTTGAATGGGCTCTTGCATCTTCAAATTTTTAAAGAAAAATCGATATATGTGAAAAACTATGACCGATAGGTACACAAATCTGAAATGCGTTGAATTTAGAAAGCTTAACCAGGGTTTGGCCGGCATAGCACGCGCCATGGGCGCCGATCAAGAGGGGCGCGAAAAAGGCGCTTTTACAGATATAAATATGTATATTAAAAAACTTTGAGTGAGACATTATTATTTATGAGTATGACTTTTGTTAAATAAAAAAATAGTCCCAACCCCCTATCGATGGACGATCGGAGGGGGGCGCAAGATCGGTGTTTGCCATAGGCGCAGGGGGCGCCCCTGGTTGAATTCAGAATAAAATGTCGCATTTAGAAAAAAATAGAAAGTGGTATATTTCTACTTAAAAAACCCAAGATGGCGCTAACTTCCAGTACTTACGGAAGCGGCGCCATTTATTTCAATTCGCAATGGTCGATTATGGCTGTAAATCAAATTTCAAGTTTCCATTTCAACTGCAAGTTAAAAATTTCTAACGAACGGGCTACGTGAATCAACCTGTACATCGGAAATAGCAAGGGGCTCAAGCTCAATATTGAACCCTGCGGCACTCCCGCCTTAAGAATATATACTGATATTCTTATGTTTACTTGAAAATATATTGATTGAAATTACATTTAAATGCAGCATATTTTCAGTTGGAACTTCACCCAAAACTTTCTTATTAAAACTTACAGAGTTGCATACAGGGTGGCCATTTGAAAACGAAACAGAGCCTATTTTGGGGACCTCAAATCATTTACGAAAAAATCCTCGGACCCGTCAATTTTTTATCCAAGGGGGAACCATTTTTTTTGCTAGTTTCGCCCCCCTGGGGGCAAAGCCATAACGGGGGTGACAAGTGCCCCCAAAATTTTAAATCGAATGGGGGGTCGAGTGATACCTTATTTTGAAGGTATTTTTATGTAGATTATAATTCTTAAGATTTAAATCAATTTTATTTTAAGTGCTTAAAGCTAAACTCAATCAAGTAAATGTTGAAAATGTTGGCCTTCGACTTCCATACAATAATACAGGTTTTGTTCAAACCTTTCCCGTACTTTTTGCAAAACTCCTGGGGTGATTTGACGACATTCATCAATTATTCTTTGTCGCTAACGATGTTGGCTGACTAGCATACATTCTAGTTTTTAAATGCCCCCATAAAAAAATCTAACGGACTAAGTCCGGGGAACGAGGAGGCCATTCAATAGCTCCTCTTCTTCCAATCCATTGTCCTGGAAACGTTTGGTCCAAATATTGACGAACCCCTGCAGCATAGTGGGGTGGCGCACCATCTTGCTGAAATACTAGACGATTTTCCAAGTACTCGTCGTTATTTTCTAGTATCTCCACTAATGCTGGATGAATCGTATTTTCTAATAACTCCAGGTACATCTCTCCTGTTAGATTGCGAGGTAAATAGAAGGGGCCTAGGATATGGTTACCAAAAATGCCAGCCCAGACATTCAATTTTTCGGGATGTTGTGTATGCACCACACGAAATGTTCTGGGATTTGAATCAGCCCAATAGAAAAAGGAGCATTTATTTCAACTCTTTTAGGAAGTGGATAAACCATTATCACTGTTCAATGTACCGATTTTGCAACTAAATAACTTTAAAGTGCTATTT